CTATCAGGTCAACATAAGTTTCAAGTCACTAAAGATGTTTGAACTAACATAGCGGATATTGTATCGGATCGAGCATTTATATGTGACCAAAATCATTCGCTTGCGGTGAAACTAAGTTTAAATTTCACAACAATTCAACGAATTTATTTTTTGTACATTATTGTAATCACTACTGATTAATAATCAGCAATTGTAACACTTCGAAAACAAGTAAGTTATTCACTTGTGTGAAGCAGCATGACCGTTACCGTGATCATTTGCTACTAAGAATGCATTCGTTTTTGTTTTGACTTCTTTTAGAATATACTTTTCGTTATCTAAAATAAGAAAATAAATATATATTACATTAAATAATATACTGAGTATTTTTTTCGTTATCATTTTTTTTTTATTGACTTTTTTTATTTTAATTTCCCCGATGTCTAGATTAAACATGGAATGTACAGTCACTCTGCCGGAAGTCGAACATGCCGCAATCGGCTGTGTCAGACGGCTGTCTGCACGGTTACTAAAAGAGTGACCGTTGCTAACGAATTAGTCTATTCAAGAGATTGTAGAATACAGTACCGTAATCTGCAAATGCATACAAATCTATTTGTAGATATTATTTATTGTGCAGTATGTTATACAGTGTGAAATTTCGTCTGTGTACAAGTTTGTGTGTAAAAATCCGAAAGTGCCTTAGAATCGCAACAAAGTTGCAATCGAGTGTTGTGCATCTCATTAGCATATCATTATCCCTTCTGGCCTTTGTTTTCTGAAAAAAAATCTGTTGGTTTAAATTTGAAACTGATTGTGTTACAAGAACACTAATTGATGGATTGGCACTTAATAAAATCATTCAACTTAACTGAGATCAAATACATCTTTTTCTACTATGATCACGCACAGGTTTGTGGGGATGGCCATGGATGGTTAGCTCCGGCAAAACCATGCAAACCAGACAATGTTGTCAATATTAAATATTCTGAATCTATTTTTGTGCAAATGTTCTTTTCTAGGTGATGATGAACAAAGTGATTTCTTCCATGAGCCGGGGACAGTGTATGGTGTGCCAGGAGTTATTCCCTGGTGGGACAGAGATAGAATGGCTGTAGATGACAGTCTAGAAAAAGATCCTCATTTTGAATCTATATTGAACGGTGTCTTCCCTCTGATGTCCAGATCTTGTCAAAGAGGTTATATACTTTGTAGTTATGTACTTTTTAGTCCAGACACAGTCATCAAAAATCAAGCATTTGTGGCATTTATAGATTGATTTTGTTCAAGCTTGTAAATACATTGGACATTATGGGTTCCTGGTGCACATCATTTTATTTTCCAGATCAGATTCAAAATTGCTGACTGGCGGAATTTTTGTATTAATGAATGCGCTTCTGGAGCCATATCTCTGACATGCTTTGACTGATTATGTTAAAATTTTATATATTCGTTATAGATTATGTTATAGATGTATTCAAAATGGCCAATTTTGTTTTAATTAATGCTGTTCCAGAGCAATATCTCTCAATATGGACAAGTACTTGTTTTACGATCAGATATAAGATGTCAATCATTTTAATATTAAAAATCATAATCATATTCCTGACATGTTTATATTCCAACTATATTACTATAAACAAAACTATATATCTTAAATTCGATATCGAACAGAGACTGTGCCATGCATGGCTTGTTACTTATAGTTCAATGTATAATGTACAATGACTGGAATAGGGTGAGTTACAAAGTGAGTTTCAATAATTATATGTGAAATTGTTCACGATAAACAACTACATGTGCTTTATAATATCAACAGGCTACCATAATACAAGACTGAGTAGACTTCATGGCGTTGAAGATGGCAGTATAAGAAAGCGAAGCCGCAGGAGAGTGAAAGAAAAAGTATGTTTATTAAAAACTGCATTTCATTCTAAAAGATATCCTCTTGGTCATCTATACTGTTCAACTGATTTTATTGGAGATTACCTTGAAGATATGGCACATTTTTAGCTCCGCTGTCGACAAAGTCGACACAGGGGAGCTGTTCATATTACTGATTGTCTGTCGCCATCCGTCACCTTTACATTTTCAACTTCTTTTTCAAAACCACGAGTCAGAATGTTTTCAAATTTGATATGCAAGTACATTGTACTTTGGATGATTCTTTCTCAGATTTGTTCATTTCATGTCAAAATCTCAAATTCTCTATTTTTGGTGATTATTTTTGTCATTTTTGGCAAGAAGTGATATTTTTGACTTGTTAAAAACCACAAGTTCAATTGCTCTGATATTACATATATAGGTACTACATGTGGACCTTTCTCAGATTTGTTCATTTTGTGATGATATCTCAAATTCTCTATATTGGTGAATATTTTTGGTAAAAAGTGATATTTTTGACTTCTTGTTGAAAACAGCAAGTCTGATTGTTTTGATACTATACATATTGTTCGATCTCATCTAATACAGAAAACTAGTGGTAGAATGCTAGCAGCTGCCAGTGACAGAATATCACAGTTTATGAACGACCCACATGAACACGAGTGAGTACCTCTGGTTTCATACATTTATGTTCTCATGTATAAAACGTATTTACACTTACCTATCCTTTTTTAGCTCCGCTGTTGACTTAGTCGAGCGGAGCTCATCTTACGAGTGATTGTCGTCGTCCGTGTCAACTTTTTACTTTTTCGACTTCTTGAAAACTACAATTGTTATTGCTTTGATACTTGGTGTATATGTACCTTGGACAGACCTTTCTCAGATTTGTTCATTTTGCTGAATATTTTTGTCATTTTTGGTGAAAAGTGATATTTCGACTTCTTGCAAGCAAGTCTGATTGCTTTGATACTATACATATTGTTCATTTTCTTATGATATCTTCAGCTCCTTATTTGAAATGTGCATTGCTAACAGCGGAGCTATCTCAGCCGACAGGCTGCTTGTTTTATGCACTTTAATATTTTTTTTTGCCATAACTAGATTGTGGATGCACCCAATGAAAAAAAGACAACGAGACCAGCTGGGTCATCTAGCATCTTTGTATGCTTTAGATATACATAGCGAAGATAGTCACAGGAAATCTCGCCCAGTTTTAGTTAAAAACAGGTTTGTACTCTTCTGTATCAAACAATGTGCGAATGTATTCCTCCCTGCGTTAAAGAGGATGGCTACTATGAATATGAATGAACATATCACTAGACGTCAATGCCAGTTTATATCATGTGACAAATTTACTGAAGAGTGGATCTTATTTCTTTACATATTTATTGATATTGAATTAGTAAAAGCAATTATTTCTACTACACTACACATTTTGTCTGTTTATACGTGGGAACCACAGTCGTACTTTACTTCTTCTGTATTTTGTGAAAATTAGTTTGGCAGTTTGTGAATTTTATATGATCATGTGAGATTATCAACAATTTTTTTATCCAATAGAAATTCTCGTCCTGCCAATGAAATAGCTTTAAAGTCATATATAGCGAGAGCCAGCGGTGTTCAAGGCAGTGCACATCATCACAGTATGGAGGCTAAAAGGAGAAGAAAAACACCAATGGGTATGTGATGTATAGTGTAGTTGTATCGTCACAAATAATAGTAGTATTATACTAGTTGTGGTTTATGTGCACTTACCCATATGTAAGAAGTACTTGTACCGGTATTTCCAGCAAATGTGTTTTTGTAATCCTCTGCTTGCAGTGCAGTTATCATTTAACAAATACAGAGATTTATGTATGGATCTGTGTCAGTTCAGAGCATAGCTGTGTTTGGGTGCCAACTTTCCACTTCATAAACACGTCGTGTTGCAGGGTTAAAATTTCAGTAAAGGTTGGATGCCCTACTAGTTTGCCTTTAATTCCTACCAAAAATATTTCATCTGCATGATATTAGTGATATTTTTCACTGATTATTTTATGCCATACATGCGTATTTAATTATTTCTGTTACACTGTACAGGTTTCGTTGGTGAAAATGCTGCTCCTATTCCAGAAAGTAATATTGGCAATCGAATACTGCAAAATATGGGTTGGACACCGGGTACTGGACTCGGGAGTGAAGGAACTGGCATTCAAGAACCAGTCTTGGCATATATGCGACCGAAAGGTAGAGGACTTGGCCATAATGATGCATAACTATGCATATAGTTTTCAGGGTTTCTTTTTGTCAACGTCATGAATATAGTGTTATGCACGTATGTTCAGGCTTGTGTAGACATTGCTTGCCATTGTCAACTGTTGGCACTGTCTAAAAATTATTATTGATACAAATTGACTAACCTTTTGACCAAAAACTAAAAGCAAGATCTAAAACTGTATGGTTCAAAATGGTGATGAAAACTTTACAAATTGTGAAAATATTAGCACTTAACTTTGGGTGGAAAAAGTATCCGACACTCAAAAGATTAAATATGATTTTCATTGATCAGGGACTTGGTCTTGCAAACTGAATCTTCATGGAGACTTTCATAACATTCAAGTGTTATAAAAAGCCCTTGAGATGAGGATCATTTATAGTAATTTATTGTTCTTAGTTTTTTATAAAAATAAAACAAACATTTTACTTTATGGTGTATACAAGTTGTCACATGCCATGCATGTTATTGGAATAGTTTAATTTGTAATGATATTTTGTGTCCATTAACTGTTGAATTATTCTTTACAATGTTGTTGTTTTCAGTTGAAGCTTTAATACAATTTTTTTTAAAGAGTAATATTTTTAACTTGGAATGTTGAAATCCTAATTTTGTCACTGGAATTTAAAGAAATTATTTTCAATATTAAAAATACTATGCATGATACCAAAATGTTGAAAGAGAAATTTTTTGTTTGGCAAAAAAAATCGATTAACATATTGACGTCCATTATCACCAAATCTTCTGACATGAATTCATTGGTGGTTTTTTTCTAAATTACTAAGTAATTTGAGTGTGGTATATATAATTCATAAAGAACCAATTGTCAAACACAAAATATTTGGCACTTTGCGACATGTGTAATGCAACTGCAATACTACTGGTATCTGGCATCATAAGTGACAATACATGTATCCTATGTGTAATCAAGGATTTCAATTCAGGTCAGGGAAAGTATCATAACCCTGTCTCAGGAACATTTCACTGACCCAGCGCATGTATACAAGTCTCAGGACTACATTCACATGTTGGTGCTGTCAGTTTCAGCTATTTCATCTTGAACTTATCACATATCAATGGTTCTAATTTTATCTGGGCCACTCAATTACCATCTATTCTTGTGTTTTATTGTATGTCTTTACTATATGACAAGTATGGAGATCCAATTAGGGCGTTTCAGTTGTGCATTAACCCAAAATATATTTATTTATTTTCATGAAATGCATGATGATCCCTTCCCATGACAATGCAATTAAATGATCAATTGATCAGCTATGTCTTTGAAATCACATGGTAATTTGTAGTATATGTGGTACAAATGCAATGATTTTATAACGTTTGTTAACTCTTTTGAATGCCAACATTTTTTTTCCTTATTGGATACAGAACTTGATCAAAAGGTATTGATAACATTATTTGGGTTTATTGGCATTCAAAGGGTCCAGTCCTGTTGTGTAAAAATTGTTTTTTTCTCAATTTGAATGAATGTAAGACTATGACCTTTTTTGATCCATTTCCCATCAAAAATTGTTTTTCTGTTTTTATCTGATGCGCAGAATAGAAAAATGGATTAATATTTAAAAATTGGTCTGCCACACAATGTATACTATCATTACAGCACTTGTGATTTTGTTAATGGTTGATAAAATGATTAATGCATTTTAATTTTTTTTAAACTTTCTAGTATTTTCTAGTATGTGATAATCAGAAATTATCATCTATGTATTTATATAATAAAAAGTAACCATTGGATTTGTAGTGAATGTACATGTGTCATTTACTGGTATCTCGCCTTGAGTACTGAGTAGACAAGTCTGGAATATGCTTGCACCAATCACAAGATGACTGTATAAAACAAGAAAGACCACCTGGCATTGTTTCACAAGGAGTGCAGGGTGATTCAGTTAACTGGATTTGTGTGTGGGATTAAGAAATCAGTATGCATGTCACCTCTTTGTTTGAACCACAAATGTCTGACCATCACATCAAGTTTTAATAAAATAACAAGGATGTATATATGCCTGTAACCACTAGTATATCCCCAGTCATCACTATACGGGTTAACAAGGTATGTCAGTGGATGTACTTTCCTCAGATTACCTGGGCATAGTATCCAGTATCATAAAACTAGCTATCACAGTGATGTTGACAGCAGAAAACTGTAATGTACATGTCAACAGAATGTATTTTTTTAAAACTTTTATTTAACGAACATGTGCAATAAAAAAACCTTTGGAATGCAAGTTTACAGACAATAGAAAAACTATTAATAATCACAGCAAAGCTGTACATAAAAATCAATTGATCGCATTCAGAATATTTACAGTCTTCTTAAAAGTACATTATTGATGTACTGATTTCATTTCATATACATGTATATATATCAAAACTAAAACAATTGTGAATCAAAATGCATCTCTCCAATAAGTGGTGCGACAAAGCACTTATGTGACGTCAAAATTATGCAGACTGGTGTAAGCAAATATTCAATCAAATACTTCTTTTGTGTAGTCGTATAGCAAATGACCACCACCCATCAAAACAATGACATTGTCAATTACACCAATTATGTCACGCAAGTGAGATTTGTGCAGTAGGTTTCCTCATAATCACAGTCATGTTCTCAGTAAAATTTTGTTAGCAAGGTGGTCAATAAGAAAATATGTTTGATAATAATTTCCTAATTTTACTTCTGTTTCTGCACTTTATTAATTGGGAAAACAAAAACTAATTCCAGGGAGGTACTCCCTAAATAGCAAGGGAGCAATGTGACCCTATTACCCTGAGAACACTGATGGTAGCTGGCAATGATGATAAAGAGTACAGGGTGAACCAAAGTGTGGTTGGTTGTTGACTAAAATGCAAGTTGGGATGATTCCTGAACGAAATTAGACCATTCAACATGGTTCTATACAATACAATTTTAATGGGTTAGCATATGCACACTGGTATTTACAGAGTCTTAGGTAAGATAATTATAATGCAATAAAACCGGTCTAAACCAAATCCTGTGAGACTAAAAATCCTTCCCAAACTGATCCCAATTTCGTAGCCCCATAAACTCACATGTATTGAAATGTCTCTTATTGTATCAGTATGTACATTGAATTGCTCAAACCAGTTTTGTGTTAAGTTTACACAGGTTTCATTATATTATGTTAAGAATGGCAGCCAGATAGAAAGTAATACTAGTCTATAGCCTCCTGTGATAATGCCTAAATTTCAGTTCAGCAGCCTCAGATTACTGCCAGTGTCCGGAGCATGAAGGCAGCTGCCATGCCACCAGCAAATATAGCAGGAACTGTCACAAATGATAACAGTGATAGTGTACCCACGCCAGACAAACCATGACCACTGCAAAAAGAAACAGAAACTTACTGTTACATCAGTATTTTTGAATACTAATTTCATATTCTATAACTTTGCGGGTAAAGTTCACGGAATTAAACTAAACAGCAAACACTTTTTATGTTATGTTTTTTTTTAATAATTCAACCTTGCCTCCACCTCTTACCTGGTGCAGCCTGCTGCCAACCTAGATCCAAATACCATGACTACCCCTCCAATAAATGATGTTGCTGTGGAGACTCCATCTACAGTGCCGAGAGTATCTGAACAATTGGCTGACATCCATGCCCCGAATACTGCACCACTTACATACAACACCTATTCACAATGTAACAAAATTCATATATTGACATTTAGGTAATTCTCCCATCATTTCAAAATCTTCTTAGATAGTTACATTTACAGTAATAATATGCAAGCGTGTGACTTAAATCTTGTGGCAACACTTTGTGCATTGTAGCTATTTTGTTAGCAAACAAGTACTGCAATATTGCTGTTCCATTCTTTATTGCGGGTCACAGTAAAATACATTCAAAATGCAGTAATTTTACATCTATACTGACCTGCCACCAGTTTGCCAATCCAGTTCTGTACTTTGACAGATATGGAGACAGTGATCGGAGTGGTTTTGTAACCAGTATCTGTGATACGACAGTGCAGTAGCTACTACTACCTCCCATGGTATCCTTGACAGCGAGCACCAATGGAATTTGAAGGCATCCAACGATGACACCTTTAAAAGTGATTATACATGAATTAGATTTATATCAATGCTATTTTTTCAGAACAGGACAAGTGTACTCACTTGTGTACAGGTTGATACTGTTAGGTAAATGGTGTATTACCATACTATACACATTGAAATCTCATCTTGCCTCTACCTGCTATCACATACACCACACCACACCATGTGTCAAAACCAGATAATTACAGGGACATGCATTGGCACAGTAGTAAAATACATGCAAACCCCAGTTAGTAGCATTCAAATCCTACCGGGGTTCAACACCAAAAAGGCTCAATCCTTACCATGGGTAAATGTGTCGCAGACTCAACGGGAAGGACAAAACCACTATTAACAAATATGACTTTGGAGGAACCTTGGTGAAGTTTAGCAGGTGCTTGAGTTTGATTGGGCATGGCTGACAATAAGATTACGTATCAAATTGCCATAGGTAGTTCCAAACATGGAATATGGTTTCTGTGGCAAAATGCACTCTATGTCAGCAGTTACAGTTTGCACACATAATAGTCAGAGGAGTGACATTGGATGTCCAGAATTGTCGCCTGGCACAAAAATATTAAAAAACAAGCCATGCATGGCACAGTCCCTGTTAGTTATCAAATTTAAGATATATAGTTTTGTTTATAGTAATATAGTTGGAACATAAGCATGTCAGAAGTATGGATCTGGAAGCTGATGCTTGAATATGATTTTTTAACATTAAAATGATTGACATCTTGTATCTGCTCTGTAACAGCATTAATTAAAACAAAATGGCCACCAGTCGGTCATTTTGAAGACATCTATCTATAACATGATGCAAAATGAATATATAAAATTTGAACATAATAAGCCAAAGCATATCAGAGATATGGCTAGAAGTGCATTCATTTAAACAAAATGGCCGCCAGTCAGCCTTTTTGAATCCGATCTGAAAAATAAAATGACGTGCATCAGGAACCCATAATCTCTAATGTATGTACCAAGTTCGAACTAAATCTATCCATAAACGCCAAGATCCAGTTCTGGAATGCTAGAAATGCTTGATTTTTGATGATTTTTTAGCACAAAAAATGCTGCCATTTGGCCATTTTAAATCAGATAGTCAAACCAATATATCTATGTCATGATGAATAATAATATATAAAATTTGATCATAATCAATCAAAGCATGGCATAGATATGGCACTAGAACTGCATTCATTAAAACAAAATTGGATCTGAAAAATAAAATGATGTGCATCAAGGTCCCATAATGTCCAACATATGTACTATCGGTAAGTTTGAACAAAATCCATCCATAAACGCCAAGATCCTGTTCTGGAATGCCAGAAATGCTTGATTTTTGATGATTTTTTAGAACAGATAGTCAAACAAATACATCTATGTCATGATGTACCGTACTTATCCGGGTAAGAGCCCATGCCTGGGCAAACACCCACCCTCCACTTTTGACACAATAAAGAAGTTGAGGTCATATCCGGGCACACGCCCAGGGGGTCTTTTTCTACACAAAAAATAAAAAAAAATTATTTTCTATTCGTTGACTGTGGTTGTATTAACAGTTGACTTTCTTGAAGTCCGTCGTGATGCTCATAAAAATTCTTTAAATATAATTGTTAATTGCGTAAAACGCGAAATAGCTGTGACATCTTTCTGCCTTCAGGGCAGCACGTTCACCCCTGATTTTTTTCAGAATCATAACATATTAAAGCAGAAACATTAGTTCTCTTTTTGAAATATTTTGTGGCCCTAAAAAGGGCCGGCCGTTTGGTTTGTTTCAAGCAAATCGTAAAAGAAGAGCCGCTAAGCAATTGTTGCACTCGTTTGGCTTTAGCGTCGTTGACAATGAAACCAATGTTGCAATATTGTAGCAACCCGTACCTGGGAGAGTGGTTAAAATCACATTGTTTTGGCTTCATAAAATATTTGGTAGCAGCTTGTGAATCCATAACTGGGGCCAGCAATTTTGCAATGTCACGCCGAAGACTGCCAACTTTTTTACCATCTTTCATTCATCACTGCTGCATTTCTGTCATGAAAACTATTTTTCTGTCGTTGGATAAAAATAAAACTTCCTATTTCAAGTCCACCGCGATATCCATATAGTGAGACATTCCAACCGCCAGAACTTGCTGAATGATAACTTTCACCATGATTGATAAGCGTCGAGTCTGATAAGAAAGCAATGTCACGATTTGACCTTTATGATGAAATACTAGTAGTGATGTCATTCTTAGCCAATCAGGAAAGCAGATGCATAAAGGTCAAAATGATTGCCAGACTGTAAACAAAAGCATTGTGTGCCATCGCAGCAGAGCGACCCCATTTTTTTTTTGGTCTCTTTATTGTGATTAGACAAGAATGAAAAGTGCCAAGCTGACAGACTGCAAAATCCGTGGATTAAAAGTGCTAAGTCCAAATTGTGTGGGACGATATTGACAAACTTTAGGAAGAAGTTGTAGTACAGTGACGCCGACTTGGACTTTGGGGGTTTTGAGTTTGACGAAGATGGCAATGAACGTACAAATAAAGATCTGAGAAGTTTTTTCAAACAGCTATGAATTTGTATAATTTTTACTGTGTAAATTTGTAAATTATTATTGATCTTGTATGACAGATGATTCCTAATTTGTCGAGACCAGAAATCACTTTACGCAGTTTAACCCCTGACATTTTAATTCATTTTGAGTTCACACGTATTGGATGTTTTTGTTGGCGGGGAAATCCTAATTCAAATGATTTCTCACTGTCGATTTTTTATTATTTCTGGTTTATTTGTCACAGTATAAGCAATACATTAATTTTGTTTTACTTCTAATGTTGCATTCCATTGCATTTATTTCTGTTGCATGTTTTCATTTGCTGTTCTATTCCCTGTCGCAGTTCGATCTGCGTGTTGAAAATTTTTCGTTTTTTTGCAGGGGCCCACCCCCCCTTTTTTTGTCAATTTTCCATATTCAGGACCCTAGGCTTATACCCGGATAAATACGGTATAATGAATATATAAAATTTGAACATAATCAGTCAAAGCCGCCAGTCAGCCATTTTAAATTGGATCTGAAAAATAAAATGATGTGCATCAAGGTCCCATAATGTCCAACCATATGTACAAAATCCATTCATAAATGATTTTGATGATTATTCAGCACAAAAATGGCCACCATTCGGCCATCTTGAATCAGATCGTGAAACAAATTGATGTGCATATGTATGATATGATGTCTGATGTATGTGTGAAGTTTGATTGTGATTGGTCCAGGCATGTCTAAGATACAGTTTCGTACACACACACGAACGCATAGACGCACAAAGGTCAAAAAACATAAGTCCCCGTTTTTGAACGCAGTCCGATCGGGGACTAATAAAAATGCTTATAATTATCCACTGAAGAATATACCTGTCAAAATAGGAGACCATGCTCTCACAGATATCCATGTAGCATTTGGTTCATTTGGTACTGTCAGATCAGTTCTCCATGGTACAAAGTGCTCCACAACAAAGATGACTATAGCTAGAACTGATGCAATTGGTAATGCCAGGACAAAAAATGGAGTGGGGGTGACTTGATTCAACCTACAAAGAAATGACGTTACATGATTTTGATATATTTTATTACAAATAACACATGCTCCACTTGATTTTCACTCTGAGTTGCTCTGCTCAAAGGTACTTACTTATATGTGATTCAGTAGTAACTTACATAAAAGCCTTGTATGGACGCCTTGGCTTTGTCAATTTCATTACAGCCGGCTCTACAATACCATAGATGAGAGCACCAGTTAAACAACCCAATAAGGTGATGACTGGGAAGAAAGAAAGAAACAGAAAAACACTTCAACAAACAACTAAAATGTGTCTATATAACAAAATAAAAAGTCACAAAAGATTATTGTCTGACAAATTGTACAATTCGAATTAGTACCACTATGTATATAAATTTTTTGAAGATTTATATTTGACTGATTGCTAACTTACTTGCATTCTTTACTCCAGCACCCAGCTGAGACAAGACCATTCCAGGACACTAGAACAATGGCAAAATAATTATTATTTTGAAAATTACAGTTATCATCATAAACTCTTATTTAGACCATGTGACAGAAATCTGTGAATAAGCTGAGAATACCTATTTGTCAGTCAGTCAGTCATATTTTAACAATCCAGTATGTGACTGTTAGTTTACAAGTACTTCTATCGGAGATCAGCTTCTAATAGTGTAAATGAGATACCGGTAATCATTTTTTGTTTGTTTTTGTAACCCTACCAGCTAGTCCAAGGAATTTGTGACATTTTGTAAGCCAAGGAATAGATAATTGATAAGACAATAAAGAAAAAATATGAAATGTTTTGTTTTGATTCAAAACCTAATATTCTGTCAGCAAACATTTATTATCTATCAACAGCAGAAGACAGTATTTCAAATGAAATGTTAAAAACAAATCAAAGAAAGCTTAGAAAGAACTCCAGTGTGCTGAGAGTTTTGGAGACACATTAAAAATTAATTCAAAATTACTTATACTTGAGATATTGATGGAATAGCTGAAAACTAATTATGCAAATAAGGTAACTAATATGAACAGATTTAGGTGTAAAACTAATAAGGTCTGCACAATGTACCAAGTTTCATTGGAATGTGATTAGAACCAAAAAAATATTAATTATTATGCTAATTAGAGAATTAATATGAACAGATTTTAACCCAAAATTAATCAGGCTGTCTATTGTCCTAGAGCATTTATATACCAAGTTTTATTCAAATGTGATGATCCATACTTGAGATATTAGTATTAATTATGTTAATTAGGTGATTAAGAAGCATAAATATTTACCAAAAACTAATATGGTGCATAGTCTTAGGTTCATTGAAATGTGATGGGTACTATTTAAAAGTTTCATTGAAATCCAATGAGTGGTTTTTAGACATCAGTGCAACAGCCATAGAACAGCAAAAAATTAACTAATTATGCAAATTAGGTAATTAATAGGCACAATTTTTTATCTCAAAATTAATCAGGTCTCTGCATAGTCCTAAAATATCTATGTCGCAAGTCTCATTGAAATGTGATGATTAGTACTTGAGATATCAGGTGAAAAGCTGAAAATTAACTAATTATGCTAATAAGGTGATTAATATGCACAAATATTTACCAAAAAACTAATTAGGTCTCTGCACAGTCCTCAAGTAACAGTCCTCATTACTACTCGAAATATCAAAAGCAGAAAGTTAATTAATTATGCAAATTAGGTAATTAATATGTACTGATATTACCCTAAAAACCATCAGGTCTGTGCAGTGTCATAGGACATCTATGTACCAAGTTTTATTGAAATGTTATGATTAGTACTTGAGATATCAGTGGAAAAGCTGAAAATTGATTAATCATTATGTAAATTAGGTAATTAATAATATTAACAGATTTTTACCCAAAACTAATCAAATCTGTGCATTAGTTCAGAGCATCCATGTGCCAAGTTTCATTGAAATCCAATGAGTGGTTCTTCAAAAATCAGTGGAAAAGTCATAGAACAGCTTAAAATCAGCTAATTATCATGCAAATTAGGTAATTAATATTCATAGATTTTTACCCAAAACTAATCAAATCTGCGCACTAGTTCAGAGTATCCATGTGCCAAATTTCATCAAAATCCAATGAGTGGTTCTTCAGATATCAGTGGAACAGTCTCGGGACAGCTAAAAATCAGCTAATTATCATGCAAATTAGGTAATTAATATTCATAGATTTTTACCAAAACCTAATCAACTCTGCGCATTATCCCAGAGCATCTATGTACCAAGTTTCATCAAAATTTGATTAGTGGTTCTTGAGATACGGTGGAACAAAAAAGTGACATACATACATACATACAGACATACAGACAGGGTAACTGCAAAGACTCCCTTTTGTGCTTTGCACACGGGAGTCAAAAATAGTCTGTTAATTCCATGTATACAAAAATTATTCAATTTTATTTTGGAAAGTGGCACGTATCCAACAAGTTGGAAATCCACCATCTTAGTACCAATACACAAATCAGGTGACAGATCGAACCCATCCAATTATAGAGCAATTGCTATATCCAGCTGTCTATCAAAATTATTCACAGGCATTATGAATTGCAGATTAACAAACCACTTGGAGAAAAACAAATTAATGAATGAGGTACAATTTGGATTTCGAAAAAACAGGCGCACAAGTGATGCAATTTTTCTTCTGAAGACAGCAGTGGAAAAAATACTGTATGGAAAAAAAGAAACTGGTGCTAAATGTAAAAGAATATACAGCTGTTTTGTAGACTTAAAAAAAGCAATTGACAGTGTCTTAAAGTTGTATTGTCTCTTATTTTAATTTGAAGGCCTTTGAAAATGTGTCAATTTGCTACATCAACCAATTAAAACAAGCGCGGCGTTCGCGTAAAATCGCATTTTCTTTCTTGCGAAAAATGATGCTCAGAGCCTAAGTCATTTTTAGTCTCGAGACTATAAATCCCATGATGCAATGCTGCTTAGTGTACTGCTTCGGGTGAGTGCGCAGTCACGCGAACCTAGGGAGTACTACATTTTGCTGTCGGCCATTGTATTGTTCACGTCTTGCGGGAAAATCTAATCTGGTTCAAAATTCACGTGCAACTGCAATTATGAAGAGAGGCAGGCCACCATTTAATAAAACTGATTCGGCGAAGAAAAGACGTCGGAGTGAAATCCAAAAAAACAACCGGCAAAGTCGAGTGCAAATTGGAAATCAATTTGATCGATGGGAGTCGTTACGGCTTCAGCTTGCAAGCCAGGGAAGTGGATGTCATGTTGTCGATCACCGCGACGTTGCTAAGTATCTACTTGATCGGAACGAAAGGTAAGTTTTTATTGTACTTTTAATGTTTTATTTTTGGTTTACAATATGAAGAACGCTTCCGAGGAAAGCTCAGCTGATGTTTTGCAGAGTACAGCGTGATTCTAGCCGACGTCAGTCAGTATCACTCGTAGCCGATTTTTTTTTCAAACGATGGCGACATGTTATTTTTGTTTCTTGATTTTTTTCTTAGATTCATGTTGTCTACACCGGTTCGTCCTCATGCAGATTGTCTCGCGTTCGACCTAGACGCGTCAACAATTTCACGTCAAAGGTAAATATATCATCAGGCAAGGAAATAGTGTTTGTTACGAAAGGATTGTACCCAGCTGTTTTGTTTTTTGAATAGGACGATTCACAACAATTCTACCGGATATGTGTTGTTTCCCGAGTTACACATGTGATGGGCTTCCATGCAATTTTTCCGTGCATTGCAGGAGTACAATTGAAAATAAACGTGCGCTGTAGGTTTTTCGTAAATATTTAATAAATTAATTTTTTTCACATTCGTGGTCATTTTGGAAAGCGAGGAGTTTAATGATGTCGTGTACAATGCAATACATGTTTTATTTTACTGACCATTTATTTATTTATTTATTTCAGTGACGATTATGAATGTCTGTCAGGAATTGAGTATTTAAAAGAATTTCCTCAAGGGCAAGTATTAAAGTTATTGTCCATTCACTGGAGATATTTGACGAGTTAATAAATTATAATTTGTTGATATAGTTTGATGTTACAGCACCTGAGAACCTGTCTTATGATGAAGATTTTTGCCATAATGTTTCTGAGTAAGTTCCCATGTTGAAAGTATTATTTATTAGTTTTTTAGAGTCTACCCTTTAAATTTATTTTCAGTTAATGGTGTGTTTTATAACTGTTGAGTTTTTCATTGATTGTACTTATTTTCACTATTTTGACTGGAGGCATTTTCTGCTAAATCAAATTACTTTCTTTACGTTATGTTTTGGTAAAACACAGTGAAAATTAGATCCACACACAATGCCTAAAATCCCAGTAAAAATAAAGTATTTTACAGTACTGGTATTTTATTTATTACATCTGTTTATTTGTCCCATCTAGTATGTCGCTAACCTTTCAAGATGATAGGCATGATGAGACGTATCATCCTAGTAGCACAGAGGAGAGTGAGGACAGTGACTTGGATGACAGTGACTTGGATCACTCTGAATTTCTGATGGATTTGTCAATGAAGTAAGTGGTAGTTACTATAATCTCATATCTTGATTGATGTGTCATTATAATGTATTTTTCCTGGTCCTACAGATAATATTTTGTTGCGTTACATTTTTTCTAGTCAGAATGGTATAGATGCATCTCAGGTTATAGGGAATGAAGATGACAGTAGTTCAGAAGTTTCTGACAGTGATGAGCAAGATATTTGTCATGCACAACCCTCTAAGATGACAGAGACTCATTGCATTAAGATAAACAATCCAGAGATTATTATCAGTCAGAAAGCTGGAATTGTGTACGAATCGTGTCTGAAACAGTTAGTGGAGATGAAGATTCCAGAGAAATGTCCAGAGCCAGGTTGCAAGAAACCGTATGAAATAGACTTTACCAAAATAGGGACTTCCCTCACCATGGAGTGGGTATGTAAATATATATGTAATATGCATTGTAAATGGTACATGTAATATAATATGTGATTTATGAAATAGCATATTGCTATTATTCCACAGATTAAAAATTTTCGTGTGGGGGGTTCCCATATTTTACAGTTGGTAGCCCACATTTCAATGCAAGGGTCAGTCAGGATTATAATTTAGATTTCCCAGAACAGAATTATACAGATGACAACTATTCAGATAGACAGTAGCTCACTTGGGCTACTAAAGATAAAAATTTAACTTGAGCCCCACAACTATTTTTTGTTCATCAGTTTTTTTATTGTGAAGTAAATGAATTATTTTATATTTTTATAAATTTTAGGTATGTACTGATGGCCACATTGGACATAAATGGTTGTCACAACCGCTGTTGAACAAGGTCAATGCTGCTGATTTCATTTTGTCATCTTGCATAGTATTGTCTGGCAACAATTATTCAAAGACAAAACGATTATTAGACTTCATGAATGTAGGATGTGTGAATGAGTCCACGCATCACCGAATTCAAAAACATTATTGTATTCCTGAAATAAAAAAATACTGGGAAGATTTACAGAACAAAGTCTTAGAAAATATCAAAGATCAAGAAGTTATTATAGCAGGTAAGTTGGTCATAAATATGTAGTTTTGATAACATTTATTCAATCATTGGAAAGTATAACTGTAAATTACAATACAGTTTATTATATAATAATACTAGTATTTTATAGCAGAGTAGCCTACAAGAAGTTAAAGACCACTCTTTCTTTTTTTTCTTCAACACAAAGGCAATACCCATCTTTACTGTAATATCACTTGTATAACACTTCAACACGATTATAAGTTGTAAATAAACATTCCCCAAAACAGCCAAAAAATAACATAATACTTTTTTGCTGCTTAGGTGATGGTAGAATGGATTCTCCAGGGTACAATGCTCAGTTTTGTACATATACCGTAATGGAATATGAAACCCTGGATATTGTGGCAGTCATAATAATAGATAAAAGAGAGACAGAATTGAAGTCCACCAACATGGAGAAAGAAGCCTTTAAAAGAGCTATGGATTTTTTGAAAGAAAAGGGGATAAAAGTAAAAGAAGTTATCAGTGATGCACATCCCCAAGTAACTGCTTTTATGAGTAAGTATTAAGTTGCAACCAGCCTAACTGAACATTTGAAAAACAATTGTTTGTAAATACCCTGCTGTATTATTTTCAATTGGAAAACACAAGGAACTATGGATGTGCTTTCCCAAAACCAGAGAACCTGTTTTTTATGTTCATTGAGCCACTTACAATTCTATACATTTTCTTGTATCTAATTGGTAAACCCTTATAGCTTCTTTGTCTACTATTCAGTGATAACTATTTCATTATGATTTACTGTCTTTGTACTGTGTTTATTCATAGAAAGGGTTTACCCTGAAGTGAAACACAGCTATGATATTTGGCATGCAGCAAAAAATCTAGGAAAGAAGATTAACAAAGTAAGTATTTTTTATTGTTTCTTGTGGAATGATATGTGTTGGCGATCCGCTCGTTCCGCTAGGATTGCCCTTATAATCACTTTTGTGGCTTTGTGTGTGTCAGTGATATTTAGTGTTTTCACATATTATTTCTTGTGATTATTTCTGCTTAACTGATTTCGCTCAAACTTGGCGGGTTGGTCACACCTTCAACCTAGTAATGAGGAAAAATCTAAAAAAAAAGAATTTTGGCCCACCGCTGCCATGGCAACAGCCAAAAACTGATTTTGATGCCAACCAGCCTACCGGTTTGTGTTAATACATGTTAGTTTCATATTTTAACCTATCCTGTTTCTTTTGGCAGGTCGGACAGGAGAAAGGAAACAACATTTTATTGGCCTGGTCAAAAGACATTGTAAACCATTTTTGGTTTTGTTCAAGGGAATGTAGTGGTTCTCCACTGAGCTTTCTTGTAAGTATATTTTTTCTTGCACATTTTTACAAAACTTTTATTCTTGATTTTGAACTATAAACATTTTTTCTTAAATTTAAAAGTATATATAGTTTCACCTAGTTTCATATTTTTTCAGTCAAAGTGGAAAAGTGTTTTATTTCACATTACGAATCAACATGAGTGGCCAGCCCTGGAACATGATGATACTGGATGCTGTGCACATGGGCCAATAACAGAAGGGACACGAGAAAAGGATTGGTTGACACCCAGTTCTAAGCCTCATGTAGCATTGAGGAAGCTGATATATGACAACTATCTTCTTCAGAAGATTCCTTATTATGTCAACTTCAGGTAAAGTATGAATATGTAACTTGTATAATTGAAAATTCAAATATCGTATTTTCTCTATTTCAAGCACCCCCTCCACCAATAGAAGTACATGTAAACCCAGATTATCGTTTGTTTCTGTTGTAATAATATAGTTTTGCTGTCATGATTAATGGTTTTGCTGTTAAAATTGTCAGTAGATAATGTATTATTTGGGAAACCATTCAGTTTTAATTTATGTTCTCTATCTCCTTTTAGAACAACTGCTGAATTAGAGAATTTCCAAGAACTAATTTTAGTTTATTCAGCTAAGAGGTATTCATTCAGGTAAGAAAAGCACTTATTTTATTGATTCTAAAGCTACACGTATAGAGTATCCATGGACCAGGGGTTGAGTAAGAGGCATAATACTTCCTTTTATATAATGCTTGGTATTTCTAAAAACCAAAGTAGGCAGCAATTAGACCTTTGACATGATAATTTACAGTACAACAATATATTATGATTTCTATGTGAATATGACATTCACTAACCTCTATATATATAAATAGCCTTTTATGGACATACCTATA